TATCTTTATATTCGCTCTTTCCCTACTTTTTCTTCCCTTGCATACCAGTATTTTAGTTTTACTTTTATTTATTTTCATACAGTACTGATCTGTCAGTACCGCTTCCATTTTATTTAAAGCTATCTCTAGGTCCTCCTTGCTAGATGCTAATACTGCTATATCATTTGCAAATCTAAGCATACTAATCTTTTGCCCCTGCACATCTATCCCTACAGTTGTACTGTCTTTAAGGATATTAATGGCGTCTTCGATGAATAGATTGACAGCGTGCATCCCTGTCTGACTCCCTTCTCTACGTTGCATCCCTAGCTCTATAACTGCCTGTTGCTCTCTATACAAACTAAGTATCACTCTTCTATATTTGTAACTCATCCCTACATTTTTAAGTATATTTAACATTTTGTCCCATTTAACATTGTCAAAAGCTTTCTCTAAATCTACAAATCCTATGTAGGCACTCTTTCCATTTTTTATCGTTTTCTCTATTGTTACCCGTAAAGCTAGAATGACCTCCCGCGTTACTCTATTTCCTCTAAACCCAAATTGATCATCCCCTAATAGTTCTTCCGCCCTTTTTTCCATCCTCCTCTGTACAATTCTAGTTAAGATTTTTGACGCATGGGAAGTTAAGCTAATTGTTCGAAATGTCTCGCACCTATCCGCGCCCCTCTTCTTAGGTAATATTACTACTACGTTCCGTTTATAATCCTCTGGGACTTTCCCCGTTTCGTAAATGTGACTAACTAGCTTAAACATACGATCTCTAACCTCTTGTTCTGCAGTTTTACAGTTTCCCCCTGTATCCCATCTACACCTGGCGCCTTATTATTCTTTAAATTTTTTAATGCTACATCAAACTCTTCTCTCATTATGGGATAACCAAGCTCATCTATTTCCACAATATCTCAGGGCCTGCGTATAGGTTCTCTAAATATTCTATCCATCTATCTGCCTTTCCCTCATTTTCTATCAAAATGACCCCTGCCTCGTTTCTTATATTATTACTACTGTATTCTACATCTCTATAATTCCTTTTAATTATATTATAAGCCTCATCAGTTTTACCTACTTCATACTTTTCTTCTACTTCTTTACACATACTATCAATCCACTGTTCCTTAGCTGCCCTACACTTCCTAATTATTTCCCACTTTATAGCTTTATATCTTTTCTGCCCTTCGTCGTCTGTCCTGTTTTTGTATTTTCGCCTTTCGTCTATTAATCCTACCATCTCATTTGTTATCTAGGGTTTCCTACTTTTACGTTTTAATGCAGTTCCATTCTGTCTCTATGTCCCCGTCATTCGTTTCTCCAGCCGCCTTTAGTATTTCGTCTGTCCATTTACCTAGCCTATCACGCGCTTCGTTACATACTAGCTTTTCTAAGTCGAGACGTCTCCTACCATCCCACTTTTTCAGAATTTTGAATATAAGGTTGGTCTTTATAACTACTAAGTTATGATCGCTATCTATGTCTGCTCCTGGATAACTCCTACAGTCCTTCACTTGATTTTTAAATCTTTGCATTACAAGTATGTAATCTAACCTATATCTCCCTAAATCACCTGGCATCTTTCACGTATAGCGCCTCCTAACGTGATGGTTGAATAAAGTATTCGCGACGGTTAACTTATGTTTATCGCAAAATTCTATCATCATTCTGTCTCCCCTATCATTTCTATTGCCTAATCCAAAAGAACCTGCTATTGCACTCACTTTACCTTCACCTATTACTGCGTTAAAATCTCCTAAAACTATTATGTTGTCTTGCCTTTTCACTAAACTTAACATGTTTTCTATATCTGCATAAACTGCTTCTACGTCTTCATCACTGTAGGATGACGTAGGCATGTAGACCTGCACTAATACCGTTCTTATCGGCTTTGAGTTTAATTTAACCATAACTCGCTTTTTGTAAATAACTTTCTACACTTTCCTACGCATTACAATTCCTACCCCCGAATTACCTTCTACCGATCCTGTATGTATTACTCTAAAGTCCCCACTCCAGAAGTCTCCAGCTTCGGGCCAACGGACTTCACTAATACCTACTATATCTAATTCTAANATAAATTGTCACATATAGGTAACTCAATGCACAATGTCACGTATAGGCAACATAAGATACATAGTGATAAAGAAGATCAGATTTTCTTGACGTCACATTCTGGATGTTTTTAGACCAAGACCAATAAGTAGTTGCTGCGTGGTTGGAACAGAATAGTACCGAGCGACATGGCCTAGAGGTTTAAACCGTTGCTTAGCATTCAGGAGGACGCCGGTTTGACTCTGAGTCCGTGTCTTGGTTCAAGTTTTTCTGTGATTTCCTTGGATCACTTAGGCAAATGTTGAGACAGTAATATTCCACAGATAATCTTTCACCCTCTTCTGTCTTCATTTCGTCCGTCTCATCTTTCTCACCCGAACCGCCACCCACCCGAAAGTTTTAAAGCTTTTTTCGGGACAGTTAATACGAGTTCGAGTTATAAGGCAATACAAAGCGAAGTAGAAAGAACTAAGAAGTAATAAAGTATGCGATATATTGGTAAATTAGTAATTAATTAATAATAGTGGTTAAAAAGAGTAAATGTTATACAAATTAGTGAGTAGTCAAAAAGGTGCTTGATTACGCGACAGTATACATTTCTTGCATTAAACTAAGGAATATCATATTTATATAAGCTGCTGCACAAATAGGGACGCATTCTCATTGGTTCGACATTTCCATAAAGCATCACATGAGAAGAAATTCGAACTTCGCCGTGTCAAAGGCCGTAACACAGTTGATGATCGAACAGAGCGAGCAGTACTGATTAATACTGGCCAATAGGCCGTTTCTTTCAGTTCACCCTAAAACACAACCTGGAGTTTATTGTGCGTTCTGAGGCAAAATGGGGTTTGACATTGTCATGCAAAAGAATAATTTTTAGGATCAAGAATTTTGATTTGTTGGTATAATGGGAGTATCGTTTCATCCGAAAGCTTGCAATTATATGTGGAATAGGTATGTTTAAAATTCCCAAAAACGGTTATAGGCACTTTGTCAGTTGAGAGTCGAGTTGTGCCTCAATGGGTTAAACTTTTCCCAGCTTCTTCCATTCCGTAAATAATTTCATGTTTATTCTTTGGGGTGTAGTGGTGGACGGTGGATCCATGTCTCGTGGTAGACAGCTATTTGTTGCAGAAAAGCATTTGAATATGTTTGGTAAAGGATCAGTAGTAGTTGGCATACTTCAAGACTGTGATGTTTTCGTTAGCTTGTGATAAGTCGATGATTAATTAAGGTATCAACTCAACATGCAATTTTTGAAAATGTTAAGTGACGGTCGTATTCGATAATGCAGCGAACGATGTTAATGTTTTACTTAGTAACATTTGTTTTCGGGTGTCTTGGTTGACTTTCCATTATCTTTTTATATCACTCGTACACTTATCAAAAAGACAAAAATCACTCCAAATTCCCTTTTTAAATTTCCATATCCTTGTTGAACGAATTATATTTTTTTTATAATAATTTCCTTGTACTTCATCCTTGTTTATCATTCCTCTTGTTCCAGCTCACCTGTCCGTCTTCTAGGAATTTAATTAATTATTCCGAGGTTTACATTTGTGTTAATTTCTGGCTACTTCCTCAATTACTGGCGTACTTAAAAATCTGTTAGGACATTTTCACTTAGAAACCTAATCGTAACTCTCCACCCCTTACTGTACTACTATGTATACTTTGTTTAGTTTCTGTAGCGATGTGACCTTCAGTTTGACCGGCGCAAAGTAGAAAAGAACAGCACTAGACCAGAAAAGAAAGGAGACAACTCTCGGCCAAACTCTTAATTGGTGAGGAGCGTATAATTCGTACAGTACTGCACGAAAAAATTGACCATTTTATCCACTACAATTGCATTGCTCAAATGTGCTGTTATTGGGACCATTTATGTACAACTGAAAATATCAACGAGATGTTTATTTATATTTGAAGACATGTTAAAGGCTTTAACGCTTGTTTCCGACTCGCATTACTATTCATGATTGAACAAAACTTTTGGCAGGTACTGTATGAAAAAGTATGTTTAATGAACAACAGTCGAGAGTATAATGAGCTTTTTTCTCCCTACCTACGATTTTGCCAGCGCGCATCCAAGACATTGGAAGGGGCAAATCGCTAGAGAAAGTAAATGAAGTATACTATGCAGTAACCTTACAATAACGAAAAAGTAGGGACTTACCGTCTCTCAAAACGACAATAGGTAAAGTATTATCACCCCCAGCGTAACCGTGGATGATGAATACATTATCTAAATACGGATTCCAAATACTTCCCTTAAGCCAGTCCGCAATATTGTTCGGAACTTGTTCCTTTTTGCCCCCACTGTAAAGGTAATAGCTTACATCACCTTCGGGACATTCAAAATTGTTGGCTGTTGGTCGCCACGAACAATTTTTTAATGTTGTATTAAACATGGACTGATTGTTTAAAAACAATGCTTCTTTAATAGGGTTTTCGTTGTTAAAATTTATAATTTGAGGCTCAACTAAAACAAAAATACTTATCTGTATCTCTTACGCTACCTAGTTTTTCAATATAAAATCGAATTATAGTTGTTTAAATAATGTTTGTAAGTGTTACTAAAAAGGTTACTCTTTGTTCCGGATAGATATTAACTCGAAGATACGTTTGTCAATAATATTTTTTTAATTTTAATTTTCCTTTGTATTCTACAGCTAAGAGTATACAACTAGGACGGTCAGTAGTGACTAAATGACCAGAATAGCAAAGGGCCCCCGATGTCTTAAAATGTTTTTTAATAGAGGTAAAAAAATGTACGGTTTCTTATATTGTGTTTTTAGTACGTAATAACATTGTAACATGTTATCTACCAACCCTAGAAAGGTTATACCTAATATTATCTTAGTTATTCCATTAAATAAACTTTCACGGTTAAAATAAATGGGGAATTCCTTTTTTATTGTGATGCATATTACATTTCTATTTCAATTGTTTGTTAAGCATTACGGCACTTCATTCTGCAGAATAAACCCTGTGCATTTGTTTTTTGAACAAAATTGTAAAAGCTAATACGAAAAAAAGTAGTATATAGCATTTAACAAGTGGTTCTGGACTCTGGGTGTCGCATTCCTGGTGCAACCCCTGAGGTCCACACGAACAACATCCCAGTTAATAATAATTTCTTTTTGAAGTGAAACTTCTTTACGCACGATAGGGTAAGTTCGTTTCATGCAAGTTGCTATGTAACGAAATTACGCAAGGGATGTCCCCCCTCTACTCGGCCACGTAGTTGAGTTCGTAGTGGGAGTTGCTTGAGCCGTGAGCGCGCTTCAATGCAACGTTCGTTACAGGCAACTCCGGCATGTATAGTGTGAAATTCATAGTGTAGAAATAATACCATTAAACTAATTCCTTAACCCCTATCCTGGTATGTTTGTGTGTTTGAAGAAGTTTCACTTCAGTAGCGTGTTGTATAATTACACGTTGTATATTTTTAAAAAATCGAGTTATATCAGAACCAATTAGATCAGATAAATTTGAATTCCTGTATTTACTAATTTTCTGTTTGTTTGTTTCAACAAAAAAAACGACTCGCCTAAATTTTATGTAATTCTTTTCAGATCGTCCCTGAGGTAGCGTTGCAAATCATACAATCATTTTATGTCGTTAGTCATTTAATGATTAGAACGTTAGTCGCTCTAGTAAAGGTGGACCTGGTTCTAAAAGAATGTCAATTATGTCCAAAACAAAAAGTTCAAAATTAATGTTAGGCTATTTAAAAATTTGCTGTCAGCTGGCTTATGAATGAACAGTGAGTTTTTTGTTTTATAAAAAATAGATTAAATTAATTCCAAGTGACGACAAATTTATTGAAAGAATTATTTAAACAATATATAAAGTAAAAATATGCTTCAGCTAATTATTTAAAGGGGGCGTCAAATAAAGGTTAGATTGGATTGCGCCATACTTAGATTATGTGCCCGCTCAGAATTTAAAATCCCTCAGCTGACGATCTTACCCCCACCGGAAAAATAGCTGACAATTTTTTTCGTTCTAATGATATAAAAAATTAACTCTACAAATTTTATTGAAACTGAAATAATTTTGCCTGAATTCCTTTCTATACTGGTTTATATGGACGGCTGACGTATAATACCCCATTACCTTAGCAGCTGACTATTCTTAAAATTTTTATTATTATATTAACATTTGTTGTGCAAATTTTTGTGGCCTAAAATTAATTTTGAATTTTTTATTTTAGAGATCA